GGAGCCACCAACTAACGAAATACGACAGACGGTATGGAGAAAAGTGGAAAATGCGCAACACCTTAATATGTATCGCTTAAAAACAAAACAGCCTAACCGCCGCACAGTACGACTATCGCGGGACCGTCAATCAGATATTACCATTAATACGTTCCTAAGACAGCTCTTAAAAAAGTAAGACGGAACGCTTAAAAAAAACATAACAAAAGAACAGCAAGGCAACATCCGGCAACAGTTCGGGAGGTTTAGAATCACATCGCAGACAAAACAGATCAAACAAGTGGGCAATATTTTACTGAGACCGGCGTTATTCATACACTGCCTTGTATAAATGTACAGTCATCACTAACAAAGGGTAACATCATTCTAATCATACAGGTTTTTGCGACATGAATGCTACTAAAACAAAGCATAGAACTGCGATATTTTCTCTAAAATCAAGCGAGCGAACCAAAAGGCAGCAATTATCACGCACAGTCGTCGCAGAACAAGGTGCAAAAAAATAAGAGACGACCGGAAACCGCTGCATCGTGCGAATATCGAAGGAAGATACGACGACGACGACGATGACAACGACGACGGAAAACGTCGAGGCGTCTTTCCTTCGACATGTGGAAATATAACTACATGCCATCACGTGAACGACATACTCCCAAGGGCCACGCGGGTTCTGTGAATGAACGATGTGGATCAAGACAGCGATAGATCACGAGTCACGCGTCACGGTGTCGCTTTGCTCTTGGAACCGATCAACTCAACCGAGTCGACTTTGCTGCCGTCGCCAGTCTCCATTTTACTGCACGTGTCTGAGCATTCCATCGCGTGGCTGCCGACAACCGCATCTTTGGACACACCAACAGTATTTTTCGGGAAAGCATCTACGCGGGATAAGACGTCAGGTGTAAGACTGTTAAAACGGATTTGTTCCAACTTCCGCCATAAGTCCTCTCGCTCTTTCTCCTTCTTTTTTTCCCTGCAAACAAACGATAAACGTGATTACGTTGCGTAAGCAGTATCGACGACAACATTAATAGCTAGGATTCAACAAAACAGACCGTCCACTTATGATATGCTCAGCTGTTTAAAAAAACTTTTTCAAAGGCTAAGTACGACAACTGATTACTCAGCCAAGTTTGATTTTAAGCTACTACAGAAATTATGGGCCCTTCAAGCATGATTTAAAATGCCCGTCATTTGGAGGGGGCTTAACGCTGGAACTATAATGAGTTTGACGATCAGCTGTTCAGGAAACCAAATAAAGCTGATGTTAAAGTTTTTATGGCATACACATTCGGCCATCATAACCATAAAGGGAGCAAGAAATACGGCCAATAACAAACTGCCTCTTAAGAAAGAAACAGAACCAACTACAATCATGCAGCGTAGATACGGGTCACTCATTATGTCGGTCCAATGTTAACATGAAGTATGTGACATCAGCGATTCTCACCCAAATTTCGCTGTCTTTCACACTACAGCGATGAGGACTAAAAAGCTAATTGAACGATAATAACTTGGTCGTATCTGCTGTCAGAAAACGAAGTAGTGACACCTAAAGAAGAACATTAAGCGAAATACTGGAACACTCCAGAACAGCTAAGCGCACGCACTCCAAACAAAGAAGAAATACCGATTCTGATAAAGCCCCACCAACCGCAGGAAAACGAAGGAACGTGCACGGAAAGATTATCACCAACGACTGTAACAAGGGGTATTTTCCGCTGTCAATCCCTGCAAAATCTCTCAGCTGTGAAGGGTGGTGAATCGCGACGAAAGGGGGATCCACTGAAGTAACAACCTTATGAATGTTGATATGAAATTTAACCAATCCTGCTTAATTTAAGAAGACTTTGATAAACGCATCTGATACCTAAACCACTTAAAAGTTATTTTTAAGAAACGAACTCGGCACTGAAATATTCGGCTGTATCTAAATTTACACCTGTGATTTACCGATGTCGAGCATGTAAACACAGGTTCAGTCATACAGATCTGTCTCCCTTTCATGAGGATAAAGCTATCTTACCAATGATTTTAATGACAAAGTGATTGCACCGCTATTTTAGCCGCAGGACAGTGATACCGATGAATCAGAGTTTAACCTAAATTTTTAAAGGATAAAGAGCCTTTATGAAGTTGAGCAATGAGTATTAGGTCTGATAGGATGTGGCCTCGTGCAAGGGGTTAACGACAACACTTAACACTGCAAGATATATTGAAGGAAATTAGAACTTAACAAAATACTTAAATAATCAAAATTACTTCTGTCGCTCAGCTTTGAAATTAGCAGTCAACCCGTCGAACAAAGCGCCGTTCATTTCCATGAAGCTCTTAAGTACGTTATAAACCAGGGTGACAATGGCCTGGTTCCAGTGTTCCTTCGAAATCTCGTACAACCGTGGGAAGAGAATCGGCATAATCACTTGGCAGTTGTCCTCGATTAGCGACATGACGTATTCGTTGTTCCAGAAGTACAGAGCACGTTCCGCAACCTAAATCACAAACGATTCATTTAAGACTGTACCGTTACTACAACGACAAAAAGCCACAGTACTGTGAACGGAGTTAACATCGGTAAGTACAGAATACCAAAGCAACAAATGCGCTCTATGCATATAAGTAAACAAACGTAACTAATACCCTTTACTGCACTGTAACGAATGTACTGCACTATTAATTTATTGGGTGCTTACATCCTCTGCGTAGCAGGTGATTTTTGCCTTGCACGAAAAATTTATTTTTATGCGGAAAATTCTAATGAAATCATTTCTTTATATGTATATCATGCAAAAATCTAGAGCAGGACCGAATACGGCAAAACTCGGGCATCCGTTCTGCTGTCTAGCCGTCCACTCTCATAAAACTGAACCGGTTCCCGCAGCAAAGTTTAAAGCCACCTTCGCCAAAGATGATAGCAGAAAGTAGTTTGAAAATCTGGCGAAAATGTTTTACCATGCTGCACCAGTATGCGAGGTGTACGGAAGCAGAAGAACACCATCTGCGCTATTCACAACTGCCAATACGGAGTCGCTGACCCGCTATCTCCGGTCATTAATCCAATGCTGCGCGTCACATCTTCATATGATAGACCTATATTTGCGTTGGCCTTAGTAAATCCTAACCTTTAATATTGTAGCAAAAATCAATAACTTAAGCGACACGACCTTTAGAAGAAAATCTACAACGTCGATCCACTCCCACATAAAAACTACGTCCAAAAATACACAAAACTTGACTTGCCTGAAAATGCGGACTCGAAATGCACTTAGCAAGTTGCTTGAAAAGCATTTCCATGATCTTCTTGAACTGATCCGGTTCGATGATGTCCAATATTTCCTCAACTTCACCGAGGAACATCACCTGAAAAATAACAACCTCATCATGTCAAGAAAAGACTGCCGACCACGCCGAATGTTACACACTTCTTTCTGACTGCAGGTTTTCGGCCAGAACTTTATTAACGCTTGAAACACCTGCTCAGTCAACGTAGGGTCTTTCTCGATAAATTGAACGACACAATAAGCTAACTAAACAAGAAACAACAATTTACACATGACTCGTAAAATTCATAACGACGAAGTCTCGAAAAGTGGGAGAAAACGCAAAATCAAGAAATATCGATCAATTCTGACCTTGTACAACAAATGATGGAATAACTCAACTACGTTAATCCGATCCCGAAAGATCCTATTACTACGATCATCGTAACGATTTCTGAAACTCATGTCAATTCTGACATTTTCTTTAATAAAATGTCGCTTCAGTGGATTTATAAAAAACGAACAGACAGATAATCTTTGTTATAACTGCCGACGCTTCAGCTAAAGTACATTGTCATCCTCAAGGCACACAATTTTTAGGTAAGTCACAAACTGGAAGACAACGCATATGTCCTTTAATTAGGGACATCTGACGTTTCGGATCAAGCTCGGTCCGTCTTCAGAGTACAATGACAAAAGGTACATAATGTTTTCATTCGGGTCTGGATGAACAGTCATTATGTTGCTAGGTTCAAGCTCGACAAGCTCGGTCCGCAGAGGAGTCGTAAGGCTCAATACAGTGCCATATCGAGATGAAAACGACGATCACCCTTGAAAAAAGACACCACGTTATCCTACCTTAACGGTTAGACGTCGGTTCATCAAAGGCTAGAAGAGAC